CCCAAAACCCCAAAACCCCAAAACCCCAAAACCCCGAGGTAGAAAACCTAGATTGAGTTTTTCAAATTAAATCATTGTTTCTGAATCTTTTAAATCAGAATCTGAACTTTCATCTAAATCTCAAGATTCAACATCTTCATTCATTAAAATCTGTTTATCCCAATTTAAAAAAACATTACCTTGCAATAATTTTTTTGATTTCAAATCCTCATCAACAAATTTCACAACTAAACATAATCAATCTTCGATTACACACTAAAATTAAACTTTAACTTTACTTCCATATCTTACTTCAATCCATCCAAAGGTTTCATCAATTAGTTTTTTCTCTTTGGCTGTAATTGTGAAGCAGTTAAAGTTTATTTCCCACCAAATTTTTTCCTTGAGGTTTAAAATGGAATCAAGGTAAGGAGTTATTGAAGTAGAGTCATCGCTTCCCCAGAGTGTGAGTCCTTCGAGATAATCTGGGATGCAGTTTTGGAGGAAGTTGGTGACAGCGTCTATAGGGAGTTAGAAGAGATTATAAAGGTTTAGAGTTAGACAAATTAGTTTTAATTATCATTTGGCTGCAAATTCAACATATTTATACTTTTTAATTTTTAACATAAGTTTGGATTGTAGTGGAATATAAATATTTTGTCATTTAGTGATTTTATCAACGAGTTTATAGATTTGTGAGTAGCTTTAGAACTATTTCTACATTTTATAACTAAGAATTACGTTAAAGTAAAGAATCAATTTCAATAGCATGTAAAACAATTTTTATTGGTTGCTAACCACAAATCATTAACTATAATAACACTTGGCTTCTGGAATGGTAAAAGTATTTTTTGAAATAAGATGTGGCAAAGAAATCTTCTAAATCTCATGAAGAAATATCTGCTTTTTGTCTTTAGATTAAAATAAAGTAGATTTGTGTCGAATTGATTCGATTAATCTGAATGATATCTATTTTATATAAATTTTGATTGTCTACAGAGATGAACAGGTTATTGGCTTATAGTTCAATAATCAAAGCGTAAGAATAAAATTTTAAGACTGTCTCCCAATTTTGAATATTTTAGTGATGCTTTAATGTTTAATACACTGTTCAAATAAAGAACAATTAATCTTTTATGAAAGACTCTTTTCTAGTAAAGCATTGCATTTTATGATATAAACATTACCAAATATGAAACCAAATCACAAGCAGATCTAAGAATGTGGACTTTCAATGGTTTGTTTGCAAATTTATGACTCCTGTGAAGTTTAAATATTCAAATAGATTTGTCAAGCATTAATTCCGGAATGAACTAAATTATCATTTATTTTATACCAACAGATTTTCATTTAAAAGTCATGGTTTCACTCGCCAACACTTGACACAAACTAAACATCTATTCAAATCATTTTAATCCGTTTTAAACCTTTATTTAACTCTCGAGTCATTTTCAGCATCATTATCTTGTGTCTCAAGCTTTCGGATATTCAAATAAAAGTTTTGGGAATTTGGGATAACATATATTAATCTGTTTAACTTCATGTTTTGATTACTTAATTTTAGATTGATTGAGGATTTAGAAAGTAAAATAATTTTAATTTCTTAATTCTCTACCCAAAATACACTACAAATAAAATAATACTTAATGAAAAATCATTAAAGTTAGTTTTATCAAACACTCTAAAACCAAAATTAGAGGAGTCTAAATAATTTAATCACAAATTCAAAGGAAACTTCTTTGGCAAGTGCTTCTCTAATAAATTTATAAACTTAATTGATCTTTCTGGTTCCAATTAGCAACACTCACTTACCAACTTCAATTTCATCAATAAAAAACAATTCTATCTCCTTTAAATGGGAAACAAATCTTTTGTCCATCGCCTTAAACACTTTCTGGTCCCCATTCGGACCAAATTCAATCCAAATTTGATCATGAGAAGCTATTTTTTCTAAGAATTCGATGGCTACAGATAAGGGAAGACGTACACTCGGGATTTGTGAATTCTTTGAGAGAAGGGTAAGTCTGAACATACGCTTTAGTAAGCATTCTGGTCTATAGAATATTAAAGAGTTGTTACTAAGTGAGAATTTCCTTTTGTTATTGCCTCTTTTATGGATTCTAATTTTTGTTTTATTCCTAGATATCAGATTAATTTATGGATAAAATTGTAAGGTAAAGAAAAATTATAATTACCTTCTGATTCTTCTGAGCTTTCAGAATCATTATCATCTTCAAAAATTTCTTCTAATTTCTCTAAACTCTCTTTTTGGTTAGTGGTTTGAGTGACCTTGATCCAGTCAAGATCCATCCCCATATTTTCAAGATTTTCAAAAACAATTTGGTGAAAATCTGAATCCTGCTCTTCAATCCTTTTGTATGATTTCTGAATGTTTTTGTTTGCGTGAGATTGGGATTCATTAAGCTCATCAATTTTCTAGTCAAGAGTTTAATAATCATATTAGGTTTTGTATGATGTGTATTCAAATTTGCAAATCTGAAGAGAACTTAGTATATATTTCACTAAAGAGGAGCATTTGGGAAGAAAGAGGAGCCAGAATTAAGGAAACGCAAAACAAAGGAATATTCAAATTTAGAAATCGTAGAACTCAAATAATATATTTGGCTTCACATTACATTTGAAATTTCAGTCTTCAAATCTTCGTAGTTAGTCTTCAAAGCAGCATAATTGGTCTTCATATCTTCAATTCGAGCTTGCTTTTCTTCTGTTTGTGTTTCAGCTTTGCAAAGCTCAGTAGTCAACTGGATTTTCTGTGTTTCCAGCTGTTCAGCTCTGTGCTTGGTGGAGTCCAATTCTTCTTGTAGTTGATCCCTTTGACTGTTAATTTCAGAATTATGCTTGGATAGTCTTTCGATCTTGGTGTTGAGATCTGTTTCAACCTGGAGTCTCTCTCTTCTAACTTCATCTAAAGTTGCCTTGAGGCAGATGTTCTGGTTTAGAGCTGAGTCTTGTTCATCAATTCCTTTGACTCTAAGTCTGATGCTTTCAGAGTTCTTAAACAGAAGCATTCTATACTTAACAAGGAAATATACTCAGTAAGTATTGGGCTTTGCTTCCATTCTTGTTTGAGTTGCTCTATACAAGATTAGATTCGATTTTTCATAAAAAGTGATGCTCAAAGAAGCAAGAAACTTACCGATCTGAGGCTTGATGTCTTCCATTTTTGACCAAAATTTTTTGGTAATGAGATTTTGAAAGGCTTCTCTTAACTCAGTAGCTCTGACCTTGAAGTCTTTGAAAGATTCCATCAAATGTTCCCACTTATACTGGAGGGTGGGCTTATGTACGAGTAGCAATTCTAAAGTTAACTTTGTGTATACCTATTGTTTCTATGTTTCATTCAACTATGCATGCAAGCAATTAGAAAGTTAACAATGGTTTCAAATAAAGCATTTCTTTAGAGGCAGAAAAGTCAATGGTGGAATCCGAGAACAAAAGCCAAAGCTCTATCCAATCAGAACGATAGACAGTTCTCATAAGTTAGAAGCAAGTAAAGCTAAACTGATACAAGTTTAGGGTGGCTGAATCATGGTTGAAAAATTGACAGCTATCATTTAAAATATAGCTTCACAGATGCCACCTTCAAATGAAAAGAAACTTAACATGGTATTTAAATGTTGGTGAACATTAAAGTGTATCCAACAGTCTAAATTAAGGTAGCTCAATGTCTATGATGATAATAATCAGACTCCATTAACTTGGCACAAATAAGAAGAAGTGATACCAGCTTGATGTTCTCACTCTTTGTCTCATAACTTATTTTACAACTTATTATCAAAGAGTCAAATTACTTTCAAAAATAGTATCTTTGTTTTTAGTTTAATGTAGGAAACGCAAGTAAAGATACCGCCTTTTGTTTTCAAAATCAAAAGCAAAACAAGCTAAAATTTAGGCTAAACTAATGCGAATCCAAAGCATCTAACTGGCTCAGGAGGACTTTGGAGAACTGTGGTTTTATCACTCCCACCCTCAGTGCTCTTCGGTTCCTCCTCTAGTAGGAGCCATTGCAGCCTAACCTCCAGCTTACCTATCTGCAAAGAACAGTTGATTTCTTGTGGAACAGCAAGGGGTTTGACTTCATGGTCTGAGTAGGTGATCTCTTTGCACTCTCCGCAGATGTATTCGCTGGAGTAGACCACGTAGTACTTCACTGGACTCTGACAGCGAAGCATGTCGCACTTCAGCTGCTTGAAAATGTTCATTTTAATTTATTTATTATTAATTCTTCAGATTTCCTCCTTTTATTGTGGTCTGGGGTTTTGGGGTTTTGGGGTTTTGGGGTTTTGGGG